CCCTCCCCTCTCCTCTCTCCTTTTGTCTTTCACTCTTCCTTACTTCATTTTTTTATATGTAGTTTTGCTAATTATATTTTTCATTGTAGGCTTTGCAAAGTGGAATAGAGGAAAAATAATTCATTATTTGAATACAAAGGTAATTTTGTGTTACGCGAGTTTGATGATTCATACTAGAATTTGAAACTCATATTATTATTTGATCATTTTATATTTTGCAAGTTGTTAAACTTACTGAATCAATGTTTTTTTTTACATATTTCAGATTTTGTTTGAATTCTCACTACATCGTAAAGTCGTCTATATCCAATCATTGATTGATTTATGGTAAATCATAATTTTATTTTTGTTTAGTTAAGAATCACGTAATCATTTTATTCTTGATTGGATCGACTATTACAAATTAAAGGACATTTTTTCATATTAGATTGTGATCGATATCAATATAACTTTAAAATTATGTATTTTCTTATTCAGTACGATAAATTGTTGAAGTTATGATTACTTTTTGGTAAATGAAAGAAAAAACTAAGGTCAAAGAGGAAAGTCTAACTTATAAATCAAGAGAAGTGAAAAATACTTGAACCAACGTGTTAAATCGAATGAGCAATCATTATATGATTTTGGAAAATATAAACCTAGTAAACTTATGTAGAAATAATCATGAAGTTGTTGTTATTCACTTTATTAGTGTGTATGAGAGAACATCAAAGTAAATTTCTTTCATCCATAATCTTATAATTATTTGTAAAATCAAAGCTTTATATGCTTTGCTTTTGAAATGAATTGAATTTTAATACTTTTTTATCAAGATGTACGAAGATATATGGGTATCAATATATGTTTATCTGATTATATATAATGTTTTCATTGTTTCAGCCTGATGCAGAGAGCTTATGTCACTTTGGATAAAAAGATTGGACGACAACAACATAAATCACCAAACAAGTGCTACAAATTTTTTGTTATGTTTATTTGATGTGGATTTTAAAAAGATTTAACATTGTTATGTTAAAATTATTATACACAAGTTTGTATTACTTTTATTTGACATAAATTTGAATTTGTGAAACTTATTAATATAAACTTGCTTAGTGAAATTTAATTTGCTTTAAATGTGTTATTTAGTAAAATTACTTATTATTCTGAAGAATTGATGTAAATCAAATTTAAAATTACTTATTATTTTGAAGGCTTGATGTAAATAAAATTTCACATTTATTATTAAAATAATAATTTTGTAAGACTCCACAAATCAAATTATAAATGTAAATTTTAATTTAAAGCCATGACAGTTTTAAATCCACACAAATTTGAGTTTAAAAATATTGAAATCATATTGTGAAGGTTCTAAACCATCAAAAATTGTATCGGAAAACCTCCACAAATTTAAAAGTCATTTTGCGGGGGACGTTGTGGAGGTTTACTAAAACCGCTGCAACTATGCTCGTGGCAAGGGTAATTGTGGCATTTTTAAAAACCGTCACAATTTAATTTGTGGGATCCCTAAACCGCTATAAATTGACAAAATAACCCCCATAAATTGAGCATTTTTTTGTAGTGATCTAAGATATGAAGTTTACGAATTTTTATTAGAGATGTTGAACAAGCGCTTGGGCAGAATACATGCAGATTAAAATGAATCGAGTTAATAAATAAGTAAATTATGATTTGTCCATAAGTTATTTTGACTGAAATGGACTATAATTAAGTCATGACTGATCATGACCTAATCTTTTTCAGTTTTTACTAAATTTTAATTTCTTTGTTATTTGTTATAAATATAATTTGTTTACGTACCTAATAATTTTTTTAATTATTATAACTATATATAACATATCAAGTAAAAAGAGTATTCTCTCAAAAATTATTTTGATAAAATATCTTATGGCCGTCAATTTGAGGTGTATATATCGACCTAAACTTCAGATAGGCTAAATTATGGGTATATAAAAAATGGCCAAGTTGATGAATGGACTGATCAAACTTGAACGATTGAATGAGTTATATTTCTACGGACTAAGTTTATCACTGATATATCTTATAATAACATCAAATTAATAATAGATCTGTCCCATTATAATGCACCAAAAGTTTGATGAGGGATATTACAATTGAATAATATTTTTCAAATAATATAAAGATAAACTATACTTTTTTCTCAAAAAATTTGAAAATGAAATAACTTTTTTCGTAAAGAAAATATCTAGATTGTAATTGGTGCCGTAATCACCGGGAACTTGATTAGAAAAGATTGTAAAGTGATAATTCATTTGTACTTAATAGTAATTATGTTTTGGCCCTCTTGTGATCATTAACAAAGATTTTTTTGTTCAAATTTAGTATGCGTTTATTTATAAATTTTGAATATTTTTCACGTTATTTTAAATTTATTATATTAGAATTATGTTTGATTGTACTTTTGTAAAGGACATCTTCAAAATTTGCTAAAAATGGAGTTAAAAAATAGATTTGACACATTTTTTAAAATTTTTAATTCAACCTCAAATTGAATTTGAAAATTTATAGCTAAACTCTTATTTTTAAAATAAAATAAAAAATTATTCCAAAATAAATGAATAATTTTCAGGATCAAACGAATTCATAGTACACTATAATTATGTCTTGGCCCTCTTGTGATCATGAACAAAGAATATTGTGTTGAAATTCAGTAGGTGTTTATCCATAAATTTCATTTTTTTTTCATGGTATTTAGAACTTATGACGCTATGGTTGTATTTTTGTAAAGGAGAAAACGAGTACTTCATTCGAAATTTGTGAAGATGGAATTGGAAAACATATTTGCCACAATTTTTCAAATTTTAAATTCAAGTTAAATTTTACGGCTAATTTTTGAATTTAAAATTAAATATAAAACTATTTGGCAATGAATTAATAATTTTCATGATCAAACGAATCATAGTATACTATAATTGGAATATTCTCATTTTTCTGTCTTTCACTCTCTTATGTTTTTTAAACTTACAAATGTTTAATTTAACTATTGGTTTTCCAAAAAAATTATATAAAGAGAGAGTATAAATCCAAATAAATGAGAAACTCACCCTTTTAACGTTCATTAAAGAATAAGAATACAAATAATTAAAGTGTCATTGAATAATCATAATAAATTAATTAAAGCAACGCACTATATATTTTTTTTAATGTATGGTGGAAACAATGAACATGGGTAAATGATCATGCTAATGGTACTCGACTAGCCATAGTAACTATAAATTTCTCTATGGCAAGGTTGATGAATCTTTAAAGAAATATTTTAAGTGAATTTTATATTGGAGTATAATGAAAAAAATAAAAAATAATTATGAGACATAACATAAGTTTATATTATCGTACGCTTTTGAACTCAATAGTATAGCTCAAGAGCAGGGCCGGCTCTTGCCTTTGTAAAATAAGGCTTATGCCTTAGGCCTCCAAATTTTGGGGCCCCTAAATTATTATTAAGAATAAATTATGTGTTAAATTTTTATAGAAAAAATTGATTAATTATGATAAAAATATATTATTTTACCAATTTTAACATCTTTTATACTTTGTTAAAAATAAAAATTAATAGTGACAAGTGTTGAACAAAGTGAATTACAAATTCTTTTTTATTTCTTTTTAAATTTTAGTTTCAAACACTACAACAAGCATATTAAAATGGTGTATACCAAGTCATCAAGTTTTGAATCAGATTCTATGGTTCTAACTCTTATTTTTATTTAATATTTGTCAACTTATTACTTATAAAATTATGTTAATAATTCATATTGCCTCATTGAAAGAATGTTTTTCAATGTTGTGTTGATAAAATCCTACCTAAAATCAATAACTAAAAAAATAATATTAAATACTAATAATTTTCATCTAAATAGTGTAAGAAAAATAAATTTTGAATAAATATGTATACAAAGTTTGTTTATATTTTAGGCCTCAAATTAAAATTTCACTTTAGGCCTCAAATTAAAATTTCGCTTTAGGCCTCCAATTATGTTAAGTCGCCCCTGCTCAAGAGACTAATCGATGAAAGTCTGACTATGCCAAACATGCATTATAAACTTGGATCATGATACTCTCTTTTTAGAATACATCTTGAATTTTTTTTCTTTTGAATTTTGTGTTTTAAACATAACATACGACTACAAAAATATGTCACTAAAAATAGAATGAGAGTTTAAAGTGAAATATATTCAAATATAAAAAGAGGTAATTCTTTCTTTAATAAATTAATTAACAAAAAAATATGTCACATAAAATAGAAAGTACTACTAACTTAAGTATAGCTTATTTACTATATATATAGTAAAGGTTCATATTTTCTTTTTTTTCTCGTCTTTTTTTGGTAGTTGATCATCTTGACGATAGTTTTGTCTTGAACCAATCAAAGTTAAAAATTTCGAGCGTAATATACACTATCAATGATGAATTGATCAATTTGTCCGATCTAATTTTTTTATTATTATTATTTTTTAAAATGACAATAGGGGGAATCTATGTATATACGCCTCAACTATTTTTCAAGTACTAGTGCAAAGTATAAAGAAAATCATATTTAAAATTTTAAGGAATTAAAATTTCTTAACCATATACAAAATAAATAGAAAAAGTTGACTTTTTTAGATCTTGTATGTATTAAAATGAATATAAAACTAAAATAAAAATAGTAAGTAGTTTTTAAAATCAATTGCTATAAAATTTAAAGAAGTAAAAGGACAAAAAAAAAAATGGGGAAAAGAAACGACGTACACCCTTCTTTTAAATTTGTCTCAAAAATAATATCAAATTTCCTTATTTAAAATTAATTTAATTATAAACTTTCTACTTTACCTTTAATAACAAAATTAATTAGTAGCATTAACTTATTAATACCATAAATTTAAAAAGTTTTTCGTGTCCAATTAAATATTGTCACATAAACTGAGATGAAAAAACTTTATATATATACACGTATAGTGAATCAATTTTGAAGCACCAACTTTCTTTTCCATAGTACTCTCTTCTTTCTCTCCATTCTTCTTCACCAAAAACAAAAAACAAAAAAAACTCCAAAATCAAATATTTTTTGCTAATTATGTCAAATTTATTTCTTAAATCACTTGCCTTATTTATTATTTTTATTTCTTTAGAAAGTGTTAAATCAGAGCTTATAGTACACAATAATAGAGAATTATTGAGTAATTGCAATTTATTTCAAGGCCAATGGGTTATTGACCCTTCATTTCCTCTTTACCAATCTTCAAATTGCCCATTTATTGATCCAGAATTTGATTGTCAAAAATATGGAAGACCTGATAAAGAGTATCTCAAATATGCTTGGAAGCCTAATTCTTGCAACTTGCCAAGGTACAAAAAAATATATTATATCGTCAGTATAAAGTTTTTGATATGTGTTATTTGAGTTGCAGCTCTTGAAACAACCTTTTTACCTCTTTTGTGAGGTAGGAATAAAAAATGTATACAATCTATCATCCACAGACTTCACCTTTGCAGGACTATAATATTGATATGTTGTTATCATTGTTGTTATTGTATTATCAGTATAAATTCTTTAATATGTGTTCGAGATCTTGGAACAAGTTCTATACCTCCTTGAATTAGAGATAAAGTTGGTGTAGTCTCTATCTCCTTCAGACCTCACAATTCACATTGTAGGACTATAATATTAGTATGATATTGTTAAACCATCAGTGTGAAAGATTTTTTTTTAATATATGTTTAATTTGTTCAGGGCTGAGCTATGTAAAATTAAAAGGTTCGATTTATAAATTGTTGAATCTTTTATTTAACGTAAAAGTAGATTCTTATGTTGTGGTAAAAGGAGTTCAAAGTGGTTTAACTTTACAATACTTCAAATACAAGTGTAACATTTACATTTAAAGGGATAAATATTTACTATCGCGATATTTTAACATGTTATAGTAAGTAACTTATTTTATTTTTCAAGTTGCTATATATGTCTTTGGTGGAGATTTTCAAGAAAATACTATCGCATATTTCTCTAGTTCTTTATAAAAGATATTTAATCCGTTAAAAATAAAAGTTAAAGAGCATATTTATGCTCCTCATCGTGTTCATTATATGGACATTTGAGACTAGGGGTCCATTCCCTTGTTTTTTTGCCCTTTTCAAGATTTTGATTGATATTGTGTCCCTATAAGTTTTGTTTTCTTCACTTTTATTCATTTAATTTAAATTTTTTTTGCAGATTTGATGGAATTGATTTTTTGAAAAGATGGAATGGAAAAAAAATAATGTTTGTTGGTGATTCATTGAGTTTAAATATGTGGGAATCTTTAGCTTGTATGTTACATTCATCAGTGCCAAATGCCACCACTTCTTTTACCAGAAAAGAATCAATTTCTGCGGTGACTTTTCAGGTTTGCGAGTTTTCTATTTGAATTATTTATTAATTATTTATTAAAATATATCTTAAATATTTTGATCCTTCGCTCTATTTATTATGGAATGTTAAATACTTCTTTGTTACCTTGTTTCAAGGTTTAAGCATTAAATATAGTCACTTTTATTAAAATAATTAATAAGTAAGATTTTTTTATGCGAATTAACATTAATCAAGCTTTTTAATAAGAATATCGAAAGAAAATTAAACAAAAAAAAATTTTGCCTCTGATATTTTTGCTTCTTTTTTTTTTTCTTTCTAGAAGTTGCCATTTTTAGCTTTCTCAGAATGTGCATGGGAGACAAGAATTTTTATTGGTTTTATGTTTGTTTTTTATTGAGTAAAAACCCGTGATTTGTCAGAGGCGTGAACAACAATTTTAACTTTATTTTAAAATTGATGTTTCCAATTTGCTAAGAAATTATTATTTTGTTATTTTTGGTTATATTGGAGCAATAATATTTCTCCTTAACACCATTATTATATAGTCTCATTATAACAATTTATATTTTTTTGAATTTTTTTTTTTAATATTCGGTTGGTCTTTGCTACCTTAATTTGAAGTTTCAATTAATTTAAATATGTCTCGCGTGAGGCTAATTAAGGGGAGAAAACACTTTTTACCAATATTTTTTGTTTTATTATGATTTGAAATCGAGATGGAAATCTTATACATTCCACCATAATCATTGATGGTCATTTTATAGTCCCTCCATCCCATTTTATGTGAGGTAGTTTGACTCGGCACGGAGTTTAAGAAAGAAACGAAGACTTTTAAAACTTGTGATTCAAAATGAATGATAGAAATTTGTGTGGCTGTAAATCATTTTATTAAGGGTAGAATAGATATTTTATATTTAAATTGTTACTTAATATAGAAATGTGTCATTTTTTTTGGGACTGACTAAAAAGAAAAGTAAGTCACATAAATTGAGACAGAGAGAGTATAGTTTTCAATATATGAATATTATATTTAAAGACTTGAAAAAAAAATTATACATTTAAATTTAGAATGAAAATGAAGTAGTTTGATCATCGTACTATATATAAATCTTCGACATATAAAATGAAATCAAGAAAAATATTCAAAGTTTCTTGAGCCTATGAACCATTATGGATTATGGTGGAATGAGTTAGATCTCTTTCTCGAGTCTTGAAATGAAAAAAATATATTACTAAAAATTATTTTTTTAATGAGTCTTACGTGATGCGATTAGCCACTTGACATTCAAGAATATTGTAACAAACTAGTGGTAGGTCCAATTTTTATTTCATGGCACATATAAATATTTTCTCCCCTTAACCAATTTTAGCAAAATGCTCAAACCTAACATTAAAAGTCATTGACTTGATTGTGTAAAATTAGTTTCTGATATTTATTGTTATCAACTTGTGCTTATATATATTGAAACTTTAAGGGTATTCTGTTATATTTGTGGTCTAGAAATTGTTTTATAACTTATTATAGATGTTATTTAGTTATATAAAAAGAGATTTTATAAATAAAATTCAGTATATCTTTGTAGGATCAATTTCTTCTAATCAAATTGTAATCCATAAACTTCATTAAATATTTGATTGATTAGATTCTGTATTTGTATTATAAAAATTTCATACATATAAACATTTGATTGCGAACTAGATGAGTTCGGTGGCCGTTCAAAATTCATAAATTTCAAATCCTAGCTTAATTAGCCCCTGAACAATGATTTAATGTTTACTCTCTTGCACTTGGACAGAGCTAGGAGAGTGCAGAGGAATTCATCTAAACTTCTTTGTTGAAAATTACGTTGCATATATAAGATTGAATCTCTTAGGTTCTTCATATATTTTGTTTTTTTATTATATATTTTAAATCATCTTAGTGAAAATTCTGATTTCATTACTACCTGCTCCAACATTTTTCTTTTGCTAATTCTCTTAATGATTTGCACAGGATTATGGAGTAACTTTATTCCTTTATAGAACCCCATATTTGGTAGATATAGTAAGAGAAAAAATTGGAAGAGTATTGAAATTGGATTCTATACAACAAGGTGATGCTTGGAAAGGAATGGATATGTTGATTTTCAACTCATGGCATTGGTGGACTCACAAGGGAAAATCTCAAGGGTAACATATATTATATCTACTTTCCACTTTTCATCTCTCTTCAAATAATTCCAAAGATATACACAAAGAAATGAGTCATTAATATGCGAGGCTGATTCTTTTTTATGTATCAAGTACGTGTAAGTCTGATTCTTTTTTACAAGTCAAATACATTAGTTAAGAAGTAATTGATAATAGGTGATATAAGACTCGAATTCGGACATGGACAGAGCTACTTAAAGAGGGGTTTGAATTTTTATATATATAGTTGAGAACCTATTAACTAAAAAACTATGAGTTTGGTGGCAAGCTCAGAACTCATAAACTTCAAATTTTGGTTTCGTCTCTACCTAGGACCTTTAACTACTTTTGATATTATATTAAAGTGTATAATCATTCCATCTAAACACCTAAGTATTTACACAACATATTTTTATTTACTTAATTTTATATTCCATAGTTATAACCATAGAGTAACATCTTTGGCATAGCCACCACTAACACATAGGCAAGCAACATATCTTGATCTATCATAGCAGAGCCATTGAGAAAATCGAGTGAATAACCTTAACGGTCGTTTTAGAAGCAGAGGTTCACATGAAATGACCAACTTTACAATTTTTATTGTTGTAGATGGGACTATATGCAAGAAGGCACAAAAGTGTCAAAAGATATGGACCGTTTGACAGCATTTTACAAAGGCCTAACAACTTGGGCAAGATGGGTTGATCAAAATGTTGATTCTTCTAAAACCAAAGTCTTCTTCCAAGGCATTTCTCCCACTCATTATATGTAAGTTCATTTATTTATTTTTTTATTATATCTAATTAATTTCTTCAAATCTTAAACTAATATCACATGGCTTTTATATACATATATATATTTGGTATGAGAAGAAAAAATCTAGAAAGAATATTTTCTAATGTTTAATAAGACAAAAGTTATTTTCAATGGAAAACATTTTAAATCAAAGGAATGATCTATTACTTGTGAGTGGACGATGGACGAAGGAAGTCATTTTCCTTATAACAATCGTAACTTTTAACTTATATTATTTGTTTAAACCAACACTTGGATGAGTTTGGTATGGAAGAAGATTCTATTTTATTTTTTTTAATTTTTCATGTTTGACTCTTTAAAAATTGGGGAAATGATTTTAAAAGTGAAAATACGAAAATAAGCTTCATAAATAACATTTTATATCCCACCGTAGCACCCCCTCAACGCCCGATCCCACACACTAACCCCACCCCTACCAATCAAATGCCCAACATCATCATCCTATAATATTTGCCTAGATTATATATACATTCTTCTCGTATAATAACTTTTTCTTCATCATCAAACACTAGAAAATAAATTTAAAAATTACTAATTTTTCAAAAAAAAATAAATTCGTAAAATATATTTTCCATCGTACCTAACACACTCTTAGACATTACTATTAATCTCTAGTATTACTCAAAAGATTCATCAAAACAATCTCCAATTGGCTAATATTATTATTAGTCTCTTATATATATCCTCTTATAAGAAATAATTTTCACTCACCAATTAAACACCAAAAAACATTCTCTAAATAAATGACTTTCGTCGTATCAAACATACCTGAATTTACAACTTTCAAAACTTATGAGTAACATCAACTAATTATGTTGCATTTTGATTAATTAGGGGCAAAGAATGGGGTTCATCAACAAAGAATTGCAATTCAGAGCAAGTGCCACTATCAGGATCAACATATCCAGGAGGATTACCATCATCTACTATTGTTGTTAACAAAGTCTTAAGTAGTATTAAGACACAAGTTTATCTACTTGACATTACATTTTTGTCACAATTAAGGAAAGATGCTCATCCATCAGCATATAGTGGACAACACCCTGGTAATGATTGTAGTCATTGGTGTCTTCCTGGTCTACCAGACACTTGGAACCAACTTCTTTATGCATCATTGGTTATGTAAAATTAGAATTTAACTTATATACACAGACGGTATAAAGTAACTTTTATATTATCAGGTCAACCAGAATGATATGTACGAATAATTGTTCATGGAAAAAAAAAAATGAAATTAAGACAAGTTATCTGCTAGAGGACTTTATTTCAAGTTTTCGTCTGTGTTATTTATTAAGTTATTTTGATAACAATAGTGTTGAGATCAATTAGTGTGCGCCTTAACTATAATAAAATCATCAACAATAAATATACACATTAAAAAAAGTATTAAAGTCTTTAATGACATTAATTAATTGTCATTGAATTCAATGTATATAGACTTTAGAAACATTTACAAAGAGTGTAAATTGCCGCTAAAAGAATATACTTAGAAGCAATTAAGCTATTGTCGTTAAAAATCATTTTTGGTATAGTGCTTGATTAAGTTGCCATGCAACAAACACATGCATATGTATCGAGTAAGTCTATCCATTAAGATCGGAGTTGATAGGTTCAAACTGTTGATATAACAAGTTCTATTTTATTTTAGACTTAATGGTTAAAACATATCTAAACTTTGAGTTTTTAATGAACTATCAAGTGCATGCGCGAATTTTCTATCTGAACCTAACTATTTATCAAAACATACCTTAACTATCAGTTGTTTTCTTTTCTACCTGAAATAACATTTAGGTAAAAAAAAAGAACGATTAATAATTAAAATGTGCTTTTATAAATAACTAATAAATAGTTCACATTAGAAACTTACATATCATATAATTCAGATGTGATATAACGTGGCTAGTAAATACAATATTTATATTTATTATCAATCAATCGAACTGTGGCTTTGAAAAATATAAAATAATGGATCCTATTTTTTAAAAATTTTATTTTCAACTAGCCTATATGTCGACCTGGTCCATCTATATATTAGGAATACAAAATTCAAGGGGTACAAGTGGTATCATCAAATTTGACTTGTTGAATTTTGAATGGACTTTTATCAAAACTTTGATTATATTTGTTTGATGAATAATTTGGCACTATATATAAGCAGCTTTAATTTGACTTAATATAGATCTTTTTATTATTTTCAATCGGTATGTATTTGATATTTGTATTAAAGTTTAATTAAATTTGAATTCATGTATACTAATATCCATTTTAGAGGTGCGACACTTTCAATATGATTTTTTCGATTCTAGAGATTTGAATTCTAGACATTCAATTAAGGTTGCAGTCGTATAAGAATCTCAACCATCTCACTGTAATTTAATTTATGTAGGTACGTACTTAATAAAATTATTGCTTGAGTTGAATGTTTGAAATTTTTATGATATGTTTGTTAATTGCATAATGATAGATCTTTGAGTTGACTATTTAATTTGAATATATTTATGATGATACTATATGAATTAAGATATATACATATATTTGTGTTGAGTGTTTGAATATATTTATGATGTTGTATGATATGTTTGATAATGACAGAGTCATTATTGAGTTGAGAATTTGACTATGTCAATGATTGATGCTATAAGATCAAAACTTTACGCTATATTTTAATTATAATTTAATTTAACTCAATATAATTAAGACATAAAAGATGTTGAGTTGTTTTGCTAACATCGACCTATCTTATTGTTTTTCCCACCAAGCCAAACTAGGGTTAAATCTACATTAAATTCATTATCAATATAAATATCATAAATTTGGTTTACAAGAAAAGTTTATAATATGTGCCCTTTGAATGTGTTACCGATAAATTCTGCTCCACTATGATAGTTTACAAATCATACTGAAGAAGTAAAATTATAATAAATAAATTTGATATAATAAGATTGACCAGAAGAATATGTAATAAACATATTTCTTATATTATTGTATAAACAAATAATATTTATAGATTAAGATGTGAAACTTATACATATAATTATAAAAATATCGCATATATTACCCGTTACAACAAATAAATATCTATTTACTACATTAGTTTTTTCTTCAAGTAGCCGATCACTTGAACGCACCCAAAAAGGAAAGGATAAAAGAACATTGGGAGCAACCCCTTAATAAAAGAATTATGATCTTGTTAAATCCAAAAAAGACAAATAATATAAACTAAAAAGAACGTCAAACCCTATATATTGATAAAAAAAATTATAAAAATATTTCTCATTTGATATTCGATATTGAAATTCAATTGATTAATCAAAATTCACGTATTGCAGACTGTCACATATCATAAAGCGACGAACCCTGCTTTCAACAAGATTTTTTCTATAACCAAAGCGTGAACATGAGACTCTAATTAAAAGTGGAGAGTTGTCCTCCACAACGTTAATGCACGATTGATTTATATATATTGAAGTTATAAAAGAAATATGAAGCAAGACATAATGCACCTATTTTTTTAATATTATATAAATAAAAATATCATAATTGGACTTTGAATGTCTACTCGAGCCATAAATTGGACTATAAATACATTAACTCAATTACATTCCATATCCTAACTTAAATTCTTCATCCATAGCTTATATTATTTCATTTTTTCATATAACTTCTTTCTTCTTTTTCACGATAGAAAAAAATGAAAACTGGAGACAAGTTCGAGAGATTTTCAAGTTGTAGAGGTGTAGCTTTCGAAATAAGGCCTCGTAACGATCCATTTTCCGTCCCTAAACCACCTACTAGTGAAGCTAATTCCCATGGTAGCAATAGATTTTGGCTACCATGGGAAAATATTAGCAAAAAAATCGTCCCATCGTCTTCATCTTTCATGCATCGATCAATGAGTCGTACTGGTAGTCATTTTTGTGATCTAGACATAGACGCAAATGAAGATGAAGACGTTGATACTCTGTCTTACATTGAAAAAGGTTGTTATGACACGCAAATTCCTCAAAAGGGTTCATCAGTACCCTTACCATTTCTACCTCCTAAAACACTAAGCAAACGCGAAAAAAAAAATAATTTTTCATCGCGATTGTCCATCATCCTTCTTGATCAAGGGTTGTTTACAGTATACAAGCAATTATTCGCGCTATCTTTAATTCTAAATATGACTTTTTTAATTCTTGCTAGTACGGGAAATTTCCCATACGCAAGAAAAAAAGCTGTCCTATTTTCAATTGGCAATATCTTTGCTTTGACACTCTGTCGAAGCGAAGCATTTTTAAGAGTTGTATTTTGGGTCGCGGTGAATTGCTTGGGATGGTCTTGGATTCCTACACGAATCAAGACTATTGTTACGTCTTTACTCCAGTCACTAGGTGGAATCCATAGTGGTTGTGCAATTTCATCGATTGCATGGCTAATTTACGCGTTAATCCTAACGTTGAATGACAAAGAAAACACTTCCCCTGAAATCGTTATCGTTGCTTTTGCAATCCTTTCACTTCTCTCCCTCTCCTCCCTCGCTGCATTTCCTCTCGTTCGACATCTCCATCATAATTTCTTCGAGAGGATTCATCGTTTCGTTGGATGGATAGCGTTATCACTTCTTTGGATTTTCATTACCTTAACGGTTTCTTATGATCCTAAAACTAAATCTTACAACAACGCGGAAATTGGCTCCAAACTTATCAAACAACAAGAATTTTTGTTCACATTGTATATAACGTTGCTAATAGTCATCCCTTGGATGACTGTGAGACGTGTCCCAGTTAAGGTCACGTCTCCATCAGGACATGCAACGATTATAAAATTCGAGGGAGGAGTCAAAGCAGGGATATTAGGACGAATTAGTCCTTCTCCCCTCTCTGAATGGCACGCGTTTGGGATCATTTCGGATGGGAAGGATGAGCACATGATGTTGGCAGGGGCGGTTGGTGACTTCACGAAAACCTTAGTATCGAACCCCCCTAGCCATTTATGGGTACGACAAGTTCATTTCGCGGGGTTGCCTTATTTAGTAAACATGTACAATAGGGTTCTAGTGGTTGCAACGGGGTCTGGAATATGTGTATTTTTATCCTTCCTTTTGCAACCTAGCGCGGCTAACGTGTGTTTTCTATGGGTGACAAAAGGGGTGGAACAAAATTATGGTAAGGAAATAAAAGAGATGTTAAGTGGGCATTCGAAGGAGAAAGTGATTATACATGATACAGCCTTGTTAGGACGTCCAAACGTATCAGAAATGAGCGTTGAGACAGCGCGAAAATGGGGAGCTGAAGTTGTAATTGTTACTAGCAATCCAGAAGGGAGTAGAGATGTGGTTAATGCTTGCAAAAAATCTGGAATTCCTGCATTTGGTCCTATTTGGGATTCTTGAAATTCAATTCATTTTTATTTGTGGAATACTTTAGTTTATTACTATAGTTTTTGTCAATCTTATACATTAGGTCTTATGTAAGCAATTTATTTCTATTCATTCCCCTAATAATATGAAGTATACTATAGAAAAAATAAGGATTTTGAAGTTTAAGATATTTGTATTTGATGGCTTGTGTGAGTCCATCACGAGTCAAGGGACCAGGTTCCTGACTAAGAATAGCTAAGAGTAGAAGGCAAACAATCAACGTAACAACAAATAAAAAGGCACACACGATGATGTACAAGGAAGGGAAAAATCACGACCTATCCTTGCATCAGAGATGAAAATATTTCTGACAGAGTACTCCTATAGAAAAATCCCAAATAACCAACGATATTCCGATGGAAATGAAAAATCTTACATATTATTATTATTATGACAATAATAACGTACTCAGTATATCCCACAAATGGGATCTGAGGAGGATTGTGTGTACGCAACCTTACTTACTCATTTTAAATTTGTTTGATGGGAGGAAATGTGAGAGATGGTGAAATGAATGGTCCATTGAGCAATTCTTTGGCTATGTGGTGATAAGCTGCCTCTGTTAAGTGAATTCCATCCCAATTTGCAAAACTTGAAGCATCCAAACATGTCTTAGAGCCAATATGACCACATCTTGCTGAATTGTTGAAGTTGTATGGACCTCCACCTCCACAACATGCTACTAGTGTATTGGAAAATCCTGTCAAAATTAGAAGAAATTAATTAAACAAAGTTTTGTTAAACGGGCAAGGGTATATATGCATTATTTGTTGAACGACAAAGATATATATATATGCATCACTTTTGTTAAAGGACGTGGGTATATATGCATCTTTGTTTTGAGTGTTTTTCAAAAGTAAAGGCAGATATAGCTTATTAGTGACATGCCGTTCAACATAATTAAGTATTTTCGATACAAATATGGATATATATATATATTTATTTATTTTTTTCAAAAGGATTAAAGTTTTAACAAATATTATATCATGAATCATAATCTCAAAGGTAAAATAACTTCAGTTCTAAAAAATTTAAATTCTGAATCTATCAAATTTAAGTCTTAAATTCGCTTTTATCTAACACACATACATGCTCTCTCTCTCACACACGCACATTTAAATGAGGAAACACACTCTTCAGGATTGCTTTCTCAGGATTCAGATCCGAGATATCTAGTTAAGGACTGAAGGATCATGTCCATCACACCATAATCCTTGATGGTTATATATCAAATATTATATATAACCATTCAATATTCAAAACTTAGTACTATCCCCTATTAAAAAAAGTCACAAAGATTGGGTAATTTTTTTTAAAACAAGAATCTAAAGTTCAACATCAACTTACCATAATGCTTTGGGGAATGGATCAATCTCTTGGCAGCTCCATAATAATCAGCATATATGATCTTTGCATGAGGATATTCTTTTCTTAAACTCTCAATTCCTAGTTTTAACTTAGCATTGTGATATTTGGAGAAGGCATTGTAGGCTTTTAAACATCCATGTTTGTCATATGCTTCTTTGTTTGTAGTGCCAAATATGGTCAAGAACACTGCTGAGCAACCAATTGGGAAATTCCCAGGCACTATCAATTCAACTGCCCCTTCTTCTATCAATACCTAAGAACAAATTATGAAAGGGAAATAGTTAATACTATGTATCAATATAATTTATGTGACTTAGACAACAAAGAAGTGGAAACAATAAAAGTAAAAGGAAGACACATTGAAGGTAACATAGTTGGGACGGTAAAGTGACTGAGGAGTTTGTTCCAAGGCATCTAGCGATGCGACAGGCATAGTAGAACCATATGACAGTATCAATAGGTTCAACAAGATCCAATAAATCCATAAATAAGGTATGAATTATCAAGTGTTGTTGGATATGTTTGAAGAGGTAGACAAGAGAAAAATACTTCAAGTTACTTTTGATGGACAATCAATCCTTTTTAATTCATGTTTTCGCAACAGAAAGTTTGAGGTTGATAACTCAATCTTCTTCTTGATTGTCATATTTTTACATTATTTAAGCATCCTCATTTGAAAATAATTACAAATCACAATTTTTCTCATTTTAGTATGATGAAAAAGTTACATTTTAAATTATAGACCAAACATGACAACTAATTCACTATAACAAAATAATTTTTAACGGTAATAAATAGACACATTAATAAAGTGTGCTAAAGTCAACATAGCTAATGAATCAAAATATTCTAAAAAGGTATTATTTGAGTCCAAAAACAAAAGCACTTTCACATAAAGAGGACGGAGGGGTATATTTTGATTTCCTCTTTATACAATGTATCATGCGTGTATAATTAATGACAATTTATGTATATCAACTAGAAAAAGTAAATAATAAATTTGGATATTAACTGAAAGGTACAATATATAAACAGACACTTAAATTTGACTTCAACTGACAAGTATTAAACACTCCAACTTTTTGAGTGCACATCTAAACATCTTAATTTGCTCTCAACTGGCAACTAATTAACACTCCAACTTGTCTGAGTTGTATCTCGTGGACACCCGACATTGACGTGATACATAAATTTCAATAATTATTTTGTAAGTTGATCAATTGTGCTCAACTCACACAGTAGAGATGAGTCTAAGCGTCTAAATATGTATACTCAAAGTTGAAAATTCATTTACCGATTGAAGTCAAGTTTAAATGTGTGTTTATATATTATGTCTACTCAAAACTGTACTTCAAAAAAAAAAAAAATGAGAAATTTGAAAAAATAGAGTCAAAGCTTACACTTGTTGCTTCAATTATGGTTTCAACAACTAGTGGTACAAGAGCTTTAAGTTGTTTAATGCTTCCACCAAGAAAGGAGGGGTAGTTATAGTCATTTCCTCCAATTTCTCCAATATAAAGAGAGATTTTTTAAAATATTCTCTACAATCTGCATAACAAAAAATAAAAATATTAAAATTTAAAGATTAAAAACACAAATGGGAAGGAAGAAAAACTATGATCTTTGTTGAAAATTCCAAAAAATATTTTTAGCATCTTATTTCAACCCTTAATGACATGAGTTATTGGGACTAGGGTGAAAGCTAAAACATTGGCTTACAGTTCGGCATAACTCAATCGCTTTGACTCAAATCTTAATATTCAATATATATAAATAATTTATCAAGAATCTAGTAAGTTGTATTTCTAGAATTCAAAACTCAAAATCTTAGTTTTGCCTCTGATTGAAACCGTAACCAGTATTCATAAAAAATGACAAGACATTTGAAATTCTTACATCACTCATTTTAAATGACATTTTTGGTACTTTACATATCAATTAATTATCGTCACATAAAATAAAACAGAAGACGTAAACAGTTCATGGTAAATTGCAAAAGATAAATTATAACCATACCTTTTTTGGTGGCACAAATGTTAGACTTCACTTCTTGGAACCATCCCAATTGGTGAGTTAAAGAAATGTTTGTCCATAAAATTTTAATATTTTTACTATAGAAATATTCAGCAGCAATAGCAGTAGCTCCAGCAGTAGCAAAATTCACTCCATTTTCAGCTTTTATGCCCCTTTTCAATGCCAAATAAGGTGGAAGCAATGGCAATCCATATGCCTCAGCTACATATAGTATAAGTATTAGCGGCATAATCAGAATTTTCATTTAAAAAAATTGTATGATGAAATAATATATGAAGAAATTAAGAAGATTAATCAATATCTATGATATATACATAAAAATAAATAAATTAATATTCAGTAATTCAGTATAATTTTCTGGCAAAAGAAGTTCATCCAAACCCCCCTAACTTCATTTATAATAGTGTTTACTATATGAGCAATGCCCTCTTATCTCGACTGATTATTCCATAGAGTATTTGTTACTTCTCCTCAACACAGCTATTGAGGGACTCTACCTATCAAAATTTAGGCATATGAGAAAAAATTGACCTAGTGCTTTTTGTGTTCGCTAAGATCATGATTTTCGTCCAAGAATTCATTGAATACTAAATCATACCTCTTTGGATCATGTATCTCCACCCTATTTCAAACTTCTCTTTTTTCTTATGACATTAGTGTCATGTTAGCTTATGTGCATCTCGACTGACTATTTCATCGAATATTTGCTACCTCTCATTAGCATGTTAGCTTATGTGCATCTCGACTGACTATTTCATCGAATATTTGCTACCTCTCATTAGCACAGGTATCGACTGACTCTACTTACCAAGATTTAATCATAGGAGAAAAATTTACCTAGTATTGTTAGTCTTCCGCTAAGATCTGAATCTAAGACCTCATAGTTCTCGTTTTAACTTATCGACTACTAAGTCACACCGTTGAATACTGACATTTTATATACTAACATTGAACTAAACATAACAAAAGAAACATTACCAAAGAAGTCAATAACTAATCTTCCATTTGAGCACCGGCCGGTGGCGTGTTTGAAGAATGTTTCTCCATAGGGGAGTTTTCCGATGACCGGAAAAGTCATGGCGCCGGAGAGAAGGAAGTTTCCGGTGTCGGCGAGTGAATCACCAAAGCTAAATATTGCATTATAAGATTGTGGATGGGATGAAACTAAGCTCAAAGAACAAAACACAATATTCAAGAAGATGATAATTTTCATGTAGATAGACATTTTTATCACTAAACAAATTTTAAAAAAAAAGAGTACGAAGCTCTTTCTTAGTTTGCTTCACTACTACTACTAATAAGAGAGGACAATTTATATGTATTTTTTTAAATGGTTTTTCACTTGGTGTTTGAGTACTTTATTTTGAAGTCTCGATTAATTTAAACTTGTATTACGTAAGGCCAATTAAAAGGAGTTAATTTTATAGTGTAAGGATGAAAATCTTATACATTCCAACACCATCATTGATGCTCATTTTGTATAGTTTTCAGAAAGAAAATTAAGTAGTTCGATCATCATAATATAAATTTCCATCACATAAAATGAAATGTATAAACAATATTTAAATATT